CGTGCAGTAGGCAGCCGGTCAATGATTCTCTCTCATCATTGATGTTTCTCTCTCTCTCCCTCTACCTTCCTCTCTGAAATTAATAAAAATATATTTTAAAAATAAATAAATAAATGTCATTGCCAAACCCCCCAAAATAAAAATGTTTTCAATCATAAAAACAGATTACTAATGGTTGCTATGAAAATGACATTTTATGAGTTATTTCAATTTACTAGTGTTAAGACTTTCATTACAGTGCCTTTCTTTATATGACTTACAGGGCTTGGGAGATTTACCATTAGATACTTCTTCAGCAAAAGGAAGACGATCTCATACTGGCAGTGTTGGAAATGCAAGGTCATCATCTGTTTCCAGAGATGTTTTAAATGCAGCCGAAAGGTAGAATCATTTGATAGTCCACATCGTTAGTGAAATTACTCTCTAGTGATAGTAGTCTCATTTGGATATTTTCATAAGCTATCCCAGAGGTATTTGCCAAAATTTAACAGAACTCTAAAAGTTGTTAAGGACTTAGAAAGTGAGGTAATTAGATTTAATAAGGCAATTATGCATATACTTACAACAACTTGCTTTTACATGTACTGAACATTAGTAAAGCTTTAGTGTTATTGAACTTAGCAATATTATGCTTGTGTTGGATAGCTGTGATTGATTTTTTTAATATATAGCCTTTACTTTTTTCCCTTAATTATAAAAGTAATACATAATTATGGTTAAAGAAAAAAACAACTTTAGGAAATATGAACATTAAAAGAATTTAACCAATAATGCCAATAACCAATAAAAAACTACTCTTAAATATTTTATAAATATAATTGTATATGTAGTTGTCTCATCTGTTTTAATTCTTTTAACAGCATTTAGTAGGTTGATTATTTCATTTTTTAAAATTTTTCAAAAGTATTATGATTGCTCTGGTATATTTTAAACATTTAAAAACTATATGAGTAGCCCTGACCAGTTTGGCTCAGTGGATAGAGCGTCAGGCCGTGGACTGAAGGGTCCCGGGTTTGATTCCAGTCGAGGGCATGTACCTCGATTGCAGGCTCAATCCCCAGTGGGGGGCTTGCAAGAGGCAGCTGATCGATGTTTCTCTCTCATCTATGTTTCTGACTCTCTATCCCTCTCCCTTCCTCTCTATAAAAAGTCAATAAAAATATTTTTTTAAAAAACTATATGAGTAAATACATAAGCATATTTTATGTTTTCTGTATTTGTATATCTTTAAAATATTTTATAAACTAAAATAATACATTTTATTAAAAATTCATGTGACAATATATGCTTTGGGGACCTTGTTATTGAAAGTACAGTCCACAGAACAGCTGCATTAGCATCACCTAGAAGTTTATTAAAAAATCCAAAATCGGGAGTATCGAAGATGGCGGCATAGGTAAACACCGTTGACTGCCGCCGTGGACAACCATTTCAAAAATACAACTAAAAGACGGAGCGGACATCAACCAGAACCACGGGAAGGCGGGCGGAGGACAGTCTCTTCAACTAGAAGCAAAAACAACAGCATTCCGACGCTCAGCGGAGGCGCAGTGTGGAAAATTTAAAGGTACGGCCGGCGCGGTGGTGACGGTGCGCGCGCAAACGGGCTGGCGGCGGAGGGCGCGGTTGTCGTTTTCAATCCGGAGCGAGTCTCAGACTCTGGGCTACAGATCCGGGCGAGTCTCTAGGGACCCAGACTCAAACGGGAGAAGCGGGACTGTCTGGCGGCGGCCCCTCCGAGGTTTGCAGCGGTTGCCGGGACGGAGAGGCAGAGCCCCTGGGGATGGACTGAGAGCGGCCATAGCGGCTCCCTCCCCCCGCCCTGCTGAGCCCGCCCCGCCCAGGCCCTGCGCACAGCCATTTGCCGACCGCCTCAGGCAAAGGCTGGATTAGCACTGCCCCAGAAGACAGACGTTTCCCGCAGCTGATTCCTTCAGCCAGTCGGCCTGGTGGTCAAATCCCTCTAGTGTTAACTACAACAATTAAGGCTTGGCTA